CGATTCGTATAGCAAGTAAAAAAAATTTCTAAGTAAAAAGTGATATTTTGTGAACCCAATCGCTCAAATTCCGATTCGTATAACAAGTATAAAAATTTTCTGTGAGATTGTGTGAAACCAATCGGTCAAATGTCGATTAGTACAACAAGTATAAAATCTAAGTAAAATATTTTGATGATCGTGGAGAGGTTAGGTCGGCCCTTGGCCGACCGGGTTCATACCGAGGGAAAACGAATCAGATATTGGCCGAGTGGATTCCTATAGGCTAGGGGATCGGTATAAGACCGATTGGACTTACGTAGCAATGCCAATTTGGAATAACCTGGAAAATAATTGAAAATTAACCAAGTGATCGGCAATAAACCGCTGAAAATAATTGGAAAACTTTCTAAGTTTAAATGCCATTTAACCATGAGATCGGCCCAATGCCGACTGAAAATTATATACGAAAAATTTCCGAGTCGAAATAAACTTAACCACGCGATCGGCCCAATGTCGACTCAAAATAATTGGAAAACTTTCTGTTTAAATGCAATTTAACCATGTGATCGGCAAATTGTCGATTCAAAATATTGAAGAAATTTTCTAAGTTTGGAATGGAATTTAACTGTGTGATCGCCCACATGCCGACTCGCAATAATACGGGAAATATCTAATTCAAAAAGAAACTCAACCATATGATCGGCCAAATGCCGATTAGGATATAGATTTGAAGAATGAACTTTGTTCTAAGCCATCATCCAAATCCCGAATTAAACAGTGAGCTAGAATTCAAATCAAAATTGAGCCACAATTATATGAACGGATCGTCCAAATTCTGATTTGTCTATCTGGAATCGTCAAAATTCCGATTAACAATGGTGGATCAAGTTAAGAATCAACTTGAATCATAAACTTTGCCTTCGAGTTATTTATACTCGCCCAGTCGGATTTTTACGTATCAATTACGAGTTTTTGTCTTCGAGTTATTTATACTCGCCCAGTCGGATTTTTACGTATCAATTACGAGTTTTTGTCTTCGAGTTATTTATACTCGCCCAGTCATATTTTTACCGATCAATCACGTGTTTTTGTCTTCGAGTTATTTATACTCGCCCAGTCGGATTTTTACCGATCAATCACGAGTTTTGTCTTCGAGTTATTTATACTCGCCCAGTCGGATTTATGCCGACAATCACGAGTTTAGTTTTCTTCTGTATAAAAATGTCAAAGAATCATATGAGGGATAGTAATATTCATTGAATAGACAAATTATTGAACTGTGGTGCCTCGTTAAAAACCTTCTCAGCAAAAACCTCTCTTATTTTTACGGGGAAAAAATACTGAGTTAGGAAAAGAATGCACCTAATACAAATGGAAAGAAAGACTAGCTATAATCGAAGCGTAAGTTGGTCGTGTTCCAAGTTCTCGGTATCATCCCTCCATCCAAGGTCCTAAGTCGGTAAGCCCCTTTGCCGACCACATCATCAATTTTGTGAGGGCCGACCCACTTAGGTGACAACTTGTTCCTCATTTGTGTTAGCTGAGCACGCTTCAAAACGAGGTCTCCTACAACGAAGTCTCTTGAAACGACCTTTGTGTTGTACTTGGAAGCTGCTCTTCTCTGGGCTGCTACTTGATTTATCCTTGCTCTCTCTCTTGTCTCAGCGATCAAGTCCAAGTCAACTCGTCTTCCCTGGTCGGACTCCTCTTCTGAAAAAGTTGTGGTACGTACTGAGGGTTCTGCGATTTCAATCGGGATCATGGCGTCTGTTCCGTACACTAAATTGAATGGAGTGTCTTGGGTCGATGAATGAACAGTTGTGTGATATGACCATAGCACCCGGGGAAGCTCCTCCACCCATGAAGCACCTGAGTCTTGGACACGCTTCTTTAGCCCTGAGAGAATTACCTTGTTGGCCGACTCCGCCTGGCCGTTAGACTGGGGATGTTCAACGGAAGTGAATGTCATTCAGATACCGACCTCTTGACAAAAATCACGGACTCTCGCACTTGCAAACTGTGTCCCATTATCAGAAACGAGCACTTGAGGAACACCATCCCTGCACACCACATTCTTCCAAAGAAACGCCCTAACCTTCTCTGCTAAGATGGTTGCAACTGGCTCCGCCTCGATCCATTTGCTGAAGTAGTCTACAACCACTATCAAGAATTTCAGTTGCCTTACCGTGATCGGAAATGGACCGAGAATATCAATACCCCACTTGTCGAAAGGCCAGGGAGATAGGATTGAATGTAGTCGTTCAGCTGGGGAATGGTGCAGGGTTGCGTGTCTTTGGCATCCATCACACTTTTGGACCCAATTGACGCAGTCATTTCTCAAGGATGGCCAAAAGTACCCTACTCGGGCAACTTTATACACCAAAGCTCGTCCTCCGATGTGACTTCCACACATTCCGCTATGCACTTCGTCCATCACTCTCTGTGCTTATGACATGGTCAAACAACTTAAAAGACGAGAGCTGAAACCTCTTCGATACAACCTTTCACTGATGACCACAAATCTGGCTGACTCTCTTTGTATCAGCGACGCCTCCTTTTTGTCCTCTGGTAACTCCCCCCGAGTCAGGTATGCAATATAGGGTCCCATCCACGACTCGAGCTCTTCTTGGATGAAAAAGACACTCTCCTGTGGCTCATTAATACTCGGCTGAGCTAAGGTTTCTTGGATGACCGACCGAGTGGCTCCTGGCTTCTTTGTGCTCGCTAACTTTGAGAGGAGATCTGCTCTCGAATTCTGCTCTCGTGGTACATGGTTAAGCGTAAACTCTTAGAAATTTTCCGATAAGAGCTTAACTTTTTCAAAGTACTTAGCCAGTTGAGGGTCCTTCGCCTGGAAGGTGCCAGCTACCTGCCCCGTAATCAGCTGAGAGTCACTTCGCGCTGACAAACTCGTCGCCCCCATTTATTTTGCCAACGCCATGCCAACTAGCAACGCTTCGTATTCGGCCTGGTTGTTACTTGCTCAGAATTCGAAGCGTAGTGATTGTTCCAACAAAATTCCTCCCGGACCTTCCAAAACAATCCCTGCTCCACTTCCTCCAAGATTCAAGGCTCCATCCACTGATAGGATCCAATGTGTCTCTCCGGCCTCGCCCTCATCGGCAGGTGAGGTCAATTCTATCACGAAATCGGCTAGCGCTTGAGCTTTGATTGCTCCTCTCGATTCATACTTCATGGAATACTATGATAGCTCTATAGACCACTTCATCATCATTTCTGCCAGGTCGGGCTTCTGTAATACTTGCCTAATCAGATGATCAGTTCGGACTATTACCTCATAACTCTGGAAGTAGTGTCTCAACTTCCGGGCTGTAACTAGTATTGCAAGAGCCAATTTCTCAATCTTCTGATACCGCGTTTCTACTCCCTGTAGGACCCGACTCGCGAAATACACAGGGACTTGAGTGCCTTCCTGCTCTTGGACTAAAACCGCACTGACTGCTCGATCAGACGCCGATATGTACACCAGCAAAGGGGTACTCGGCCATGGCTTCATCAAAATTGGTGGCGACGCGAGCGACTTCTTCAACTCCAGGAAAGCCTCCTCGCACTCGATCGTCCAAGTAAAACGATCATTCTTCCTTAAGCATTGAAAAAGCGGGAGGGCCTTGTCGGCTGCCTTTGAGAGGAAACGCGACAAAGATGCCATTCGCCCAGCGAGTTGTTGCACCTCCTTCACCGTTGATGGACTCCTCATGTTGATGATTGCCGAGCACTTTTCGGGATTTGCTTCGATGCCGCGATGGGTTAGCAGGAAACCAAGGAAATTTCCCGCTTGAACCCCAAAAGAACATTTTTTGGGGTTCAACTTCAGCTGATACTTGCCTATGGTCTCAAACAGTTCTTGCAGGTCGTCCAAATTCCTATTCAGACTCATTGACTTCACCACCATGTCATCGACATAAGCTTCCACGTTCCTACCCAGCTGGTTCACCAATACTTTGTCCATCAAATGTTGATACGTTGCTCTCGCATTCTTCAAGCCAAAAGGCATGACCTTGTAGCAGTAATTGGCTTGATCGGCGATGAACGCGGTTTTGTCCTCGTCAGCCGGGTGCATTCGGATCTAATTGTAACCCGAATACGCATCCATGAAACTTAACAGTTCATATCCCGACGCACCATCAACGAGGCAGTCTATATTCGGCAAAGGGTACGAATCCTTCGGGCACGCTTTGTTTAAATCAGTGAAATCTGTGTACATTCTCCATTTTCCACTACTTTTACGTACCATCACAACATTTGCGAGCCAGGTCGGGTATTGTATTTCTCGTACGTGCCCTGCCATTAATAACTTGTTTGTTTCTTTCGGCGATGGCCTTTCGTTTTTCCTCCTCAAACTTCCTCCTCTTCTAGATCACCGGTTTCGCGCCTGGGTCTATGGCCAACCTGTGGCACATGAAGTCGGGGTCTACTCCTGGCATGTCTTTGGCGTGCCACGCGAATGCCGACAAGTTCGATTTCAATACCTCTATCAGTTTCCCTGCATCCTCCTGGCTTAGGGATGTACCAATCTTCACTTTCTTTCCTTCCGCCATTACCACCTCTTTAACGTCCTCAACAGGAGCTGGTCGGCGATCGAAATGGCTTACTCTGGGGTCTAACTCGACGGAGTGGACCTCCTGTTCCACCTGTGCAGTGTACAGTCGCCTTCGCGCCTTTAAGCTATCCCCGTAACACTTCCGGGCAACCTCCTGGTCTACTCTAAGGACTCCCACTGTGCCGTTTGGCAACGGATATTTTACCTTCAGATGGGGAGTGGACACCACAGCTCCTAGCTTGTTCAGGGTCGGCCTTCCGATCAAGATGCTGTAGGATGACTGGGCGTTGACCACCAAATACCGGACAACCACCGTTTTCATCTGAGCTCCTTGGCCAAAGGTCGTCTCTAGATCGGCATATCCCCTCGCGATGACCTGGTCTCCTGCAAAACCCACTAGAGTCCCTGCATAAGGAATGAGTCGGTCATTAGGTATTTTCATCCCCTCAAAAGCCTCCTAGAATAAGATGTCTGCGGAACTTCCCTGATCAATCAACACACGCTTCACATTGTACCCCATAACAATCGCCGATATGACGACGGGGTCGTCCTCGCGAGGGGCTACTCCTTCATAATCCGAGTCTGAGAACGAAATCTCAGGCTGAGATGGTCGCTTGAATTCTGATACTGCCAGCACCGACCGAGAGTACCTCTTTCGGGCAATTGAGGTAGTACCCCCGCCTGCGAAGCCCCCTGCAATGGTATTGAAGTCCCCGTGAATGGGTTGCTGGTAGGTTTCTGACGCCTTCGTTGGCGTGTCTCTGGGAGGAGTTCTCTCTCTACGCCTATCCCTCCTGGTGTCATCTTGTGCGCGCCTGTGTCGCCTATCCGACGAACCTCCTTCCTATTTTATTTCCACAAACTCTTTCAGTCGCCCCTCCTTGATTAAACGCTCGATCTGCCTCCCTAGGACGAAGCAATTTTCAGTGGAGTGTCCATGAGCTCTATGGAATGCACACCAATCAGTTTTAAAGGGTCCCAATTGACGTTCCGTCGCCGCTGGAAATTCAAACAACGATGCGTTGTTGACATCGTGAAGTATCTGTCGCCTGGGAACGTTGAGTGGAGTAAACTTCTCTTCGTCATTATTGCGTGACCACTCGCCCCTTGCCCGACCACCGTGATCGGCCTGCCTGGAATTGCCCTCCTTGCAGTTGTAACGGTCACGTCGTTTACTCCAGTGCGATCGCGGTCGGAGATGCTTATTTCCCTCCTTATTGCTCCCCCCCGCCTCTCGGCTTTCCGCTGCTCTTTTGCTAATCTGTCCTTCCTCCGTCTTAATGTGACTCAGTGCGAAGGCTCTAACCTCCGACATCGTCTTCCAATTTGCTCTTTCCAGAGCGATGTCGAAAGCTCCAGATCTCAGGCCCTTCTGGAATGCGATGACAACCATCCTCTCATCCAAAGATGCTATCCTCAAAGCAACCTCATTGAACCTTTGCATAAAGTCCTTCAGCGACTCCTTCCGCTGCTGCTTGAGATAGAACAAGTCTGATGTAATCGGTGGTTTCTTCTTGTTGGCAGCAAATTGCGCCATGAAAAGCCTACTGAAGAGGTCGAAGTCGGTGATTGATCGGTCAGGGAGACCACTAAACCAATCGAGTGCTGCCTTTTTGAGTGTTCCCATGAAAAGCTTACAGCAGACTTCCATGCCTCCTCCACAGATCAACATTTGGGCTCGGAAATTTGTCAGATGCTGACTGGGATCCTGTGTTCCATCAAAGGGCTCAACTTGGGGTATTCGATGATCCCTGGGGATGGCCTCGGCCTCTATGGCTTTTGAGAAAGGCTGAAAATCCCTAGGGACTTCCAACATGACATCCTCCTCCACCGTCCTGGTACTGGCTTCTATTCTGGCCTGCATCTCGTCCGCTCGCCTCCTAATCTCCTCGTTTTCGCGTTGAATGGCCTCCTCTCTCTCCCTAGAGCGCGCATTCTCCTCTCGTAGGCCATTGATCATGGCCATCATCTCCTCCATAGTAGAGGGTTGTGAGTTGTTGTTGTTATTGCCGCCTCTCGCCATGGTAGAGTGTAGGTTTTTTGTATTTCTTGGGGCGTAGGAAAAGTTTCACCGTAGCCCCACTGTGGGCGCCAAAATGTTCTGGCCAAAGGGTGGACTAGGGTTTTTTCCTAGATCAAGCCTCCGAGCCAGAGCATTCAAAAGTGTAATCTGCCTTCTCAACTCTAGGGTTTTTAGTTTTATAGTTTCTCGTTCACGGGCTTCATGGGCCCCGAGAATATAAGGATTTCCCTTAACCGTTCTTATTTTAAAGATACTACGTCAAACACTGGAACGATAAGTCGAATCGCTACCGACTAGGCCCATTCCCAAGGGGTCCAGTCGGGACTTAGCCGAGGGGAATGTCGGCCCTGAAAGATTAGAGTGGAGGCCGACATGGCTTAAACTATGATGCACTCTCGGCCACAGGCCGAGTAGCTCTTTAAAGGGAGGGGGTGTCGGAAGAAGACCGAAAAGGGTGTACATGTGTCGAATCGGCTATAAACCGAGCGGCCGTTAGGGAGCCGGTTGAGGTGATGGCGAAGTTATCGTAAGTAGGGACATCCTTTCGGTATCCGACCGTGACGATACAAAACCATATACCCATTTTTTGTGATAACATAGGTGTTATAAATATGTCTAAAAGTACTATACAATATTCCAAGGCTAAGAACATTGAGATAAGATATCATTTCATTCGTGATTATGTTTGAAAAGAAGTTTTGACATAAAATTTATAAACACTAATCACCAATGGGCTAATATTTTTACAAAGGTTTTACCTGGGGAATGTTTTAGATTCATCAGAGACCATATTAGTCTAAAATGTTTTTTTAGAATAAAAGTATTGCATCGTCTTACTCTATGTTGCTTAATTTTACCATGTTTCATCTAACATGCATCAATTTATGCATATGTAGACATACATAATTCTATGCAATTTTTATATTTATATATGTACACCAATGTTTCAGTTTATTCTGAAAAGATATCTTCGCATTAAATGTAATTCAATGTGTTAAGATGATTAAGGAATGGGATTTAGTAAAGTGTTGCATGGAGAAAAGGAATTGACATAGGCACACCAAAACCAGTCACAAAACCACTAGAAGCCACCCTCAACCACAACTCTATCCCAACCACCAACTCTCCCTTTAACCTAAACACAAGCCTTTTCTCTATCACCAAAAATGAAAACAAAAGCCCTTGTACCCAAATCGCTTTGCATTCATGTCCATCAGTCTTCATCTAACTCAGATGACAAACCCATCTTTTTCCATCTATATTGCCCAACACCTAAACCTAAGTCACCACCACCACCACCTCAACCAACCATTGCAACTACTCTTCCCCCAAAGTCCAAGAAACGATGTTTTGTTCAAGGTCTTACTAAGCCTCAAACCACGAAGGAGGAGCAAAGGTTTTTCAAGCAGGCCAAGACTCTGTCTCAACTAGAGGTAGAAGAGCAAAGAAAGAAAGATGAAGTGCTGGCCACTAAAGAAGCAAAAATGCTTAAGGAAGCATTACATCTGTCTACCAAAGATTTAATCTCTTCAATAGCTTCATCTAATTCGTCTCCATAACCATCATCTGATGGAGATATAGGTCTATAACCAACTCAAACTAATGAGTATACTATCTAGATGATGCTCTCAAAAGCTACTCTTAATCAAACAATTCAATCAGATGTTGCCCCACACCAGTCCAAGTAGCATTTGCTCTCTCTTTGATTTGCCAGTAAGGTCTACTAAACATGTTATGCCTATTTTCCCCACATTAGTAGAACCGTTTGTTTTTGTCAATGACATTACACCTCTGTCTATTTAGGTCATAATCGAGGTAATTCCCTTATGAGTAAACACGTCATAGGTGGAGCCAGACCCTCAAGAACTAGAAGATTACCTATCATTTATGCACTCAACTAACATTTTTGAGTTTGAGAGCATAGACTCTAAGGAGGAGGAAGAATTGCAAAGGTTGTAGAAAAAGGATACTACTAAAGATGATTGGATACCTCTAGTCCATAATACCACTAGGCAATCCCCTTACTTCAACAAGAAGGAGTACATCATCATGCGTTATTATGAAGCCCCTAGAACTTTCATTCAACCAAGGACTACCTTGTAGACTAAGTTTAGGTCCATTGATGTCAACAACCCACCATGTCTGAATGCACAAAAAACTCAACTTATCCAGCAATAACACCATGAAGTTCAGAATCTCGTCCATTTACGAAGTGCTTTGGAGCTAAGTTGTGAGGGAAACCCTCATCATTTGCCACAAATGTTAAGTGATGTATACAGGCCATGGATGATCCAATCATGGACCAAGTTCTTCAATGTTGAGACTCATCCCAAGGTTGTAATCCACTCTGTCTACAAGGGTAAAGAGAAGCTAAAGTAATACTTGGGAGATATGTGCTACATGTGATATGCCAAGTGCCATTAGTTTGGTGCCTCCAGCCGAGACAAAGTTGAATGTTTACCATACACTGTTGGAAGAAGCATGGAAATCTATCCAATCCCCTCCTAGACTATTCCCTTTGTCTCCAACACTCTCTTCACTCGTTGTAAAGTTGATCATTATTTCTCTTCTTTTTCTTTTACATTTCATATATTTTTACCTAGTAACATTATTTTTCTATACAGAAATATTGTTCGTCTACCTTTTCTTGAGCATCAAGGTTTGTTTGCTACACTCCAGACTCCTCCCCTTGAAACTAAAGTTAACTAGAAGAACCTCTTTGTTGGCCTCTTCAAAACTTTTTGTTCTGTTTACTAAAGGCAAGCTTGTTATGAATAGAAACTCCAAAAGTTGCTTAACTGTCTAAACATTAAGTTGAGCTCTAATGAAGAGAAAGTATAATCTCAAGGGGAGACACACTTCTACACAATCTTTTTGCTAATGCCAAAAAGGGGAGTAGAAATCGTGTTTTTGAAGAAATCGTATTTTTGAACATTTTTTGATTAATTGTCTTATTTGCTTTGATTCTATTGTTATTGATATTGCTTCACTCTAACTCATAAACATATGCACTAATATAATTCATTTTAGATCATGCATGTTTTCAGGGGAGTCTCCTATGCATTTTATCTCATGTCTATATGCTTTGGTATGAATGTCATGAATAAGCACATGCTTTGAAAAATGGGCTACAGAGGTTCTAGTGTGAAAAATATTAATATACTCTAAACATATGCTTTAATAAACACATTAGACTCTGATATGCAATTTAGGCCATGATAGACAACATAGGCTCTGATATGTTTCACAGACAACATATGCTTTGATAGATATCTAAGGCTCTAATGTACAACATATGCTTTGTTTGGCTAATAACTAGATATGTTCACTTTAATAGGGTCTAAAATGAATAAGAATGTTAATATACATATATGTTTAGTCATCAATAATGCTCTAAAATGACCAATAAGATGACAAGAATACACTAATATACATGCCTTAAACGAATGTATGCATAAAATCAAATTGCTAGTATGATCTTATACACAATGTCTGAAAAATGCATTATTATACTACTATGATGATTTTATAAAGATTCCACATCTCAAAGAAAATCACATTTTTGATAAAAATGATTCTCTCACATTAAGTTATCTTTGCAAAAAACACTTCAACTTAATAAAAAAAATATTTTTTCCAAGACAAGAAAAATCTTAGTTTGAAAAATGTGTTTGTCAACATAAAAAGGGGAAGATTGTTAAGTCAAAAGATGATATTGGATCCCTCAAAATTTCAAGTTTTAATTATAACAAACGGAATGTTTTTATAAGAGAAAATATTATTTGCAAAATATACATCAAACAATGCATAAGATGCAAAATGTTAAACACATGATGTGTCATCAAATGAAGCATACAGTCTTACTTCATAAAATATTAAATGCATACCATTTATAATGAATAAAAAATACTTATTTAATGACTAACTGATTCCTTAACAGATCAAACTAAGAAAGCTCGTTGGAACTCACAAATATGCTAAAGTGAATGAATTCATGCTTTGCATAAGAAACAATGACAAACGGATCCCTGAAATCACAGATAAAGTGAAGGAAACCTACTTCCCAAGGATCCCTTTGGAAGAGATAAGACCAAGAAGATTGAAGGTTGATGGAGGATTATCCATAGGAAGCTCACGCTTGAAGACCATTGGAGCTTTAACTAGGTCCATGATTAGGAAGCTTCTATAGAGGAGGTGTTTCTTAGACCTATGCTTTATATGAGCATCGAGTATGATTCCTCTTTTTATCCTCATAGTCTATATTGTACATATCTTGTATAATTCCTTATATATAGTAGATCCTCGTATAGGCTTTCTTTTGCCTTTGTATTTGTAAGGCACCTTTATTTTTCTCTGTAGGTCATACCCATAGGATTGTAGGGTATGTTGCTTGGAGAGTTTTACTTCATTTGACCATTTATTAAGGGTCATAGATTTTCTTACTTTTAGTATTAGTAGTGGGGTAGCAAATAGAAAATGTGAAGGTGAAGCTAGCAATTGGGCCTTTGGTGAGCCTGGGCTAAATTTTACATATTAGGCTTATTTTTCTCCATTTAATCCAAGGAATTGATTTAGCTAGGTCTCTCCATCATTTGGTGAACCTAAATAAACCAATTCCAAGATTTTGGATTGGATTAAATGAAGAAAAATCAAGCATGGCTTCCTAGTTCCCTTCTTGGCTGAAATTGCTTGGCTTCTCATTCACACTTGTCTTTGGGTTAGTCGAGGGGATAATGTGACACTTGGCACTCCATGATTGGCTCTTCTAGATCTAAGTGTCCCCTCATTGTCTCCTAAGGGACAAGGTGACACTTGACACTCTATGATTGGCTAATTTAGATCTAACTGTTCCTACCTTGTCTCTTCCTTGTCTAAGTTGCACTACAAGCTTCTACACCATTATATACAGGTCATTTAACTTGTAAAACTCACTTTTGATCATTGGTATATGAGATTTGTGATATTTTCTCTAAGTTATCTCTCTTAAAAGTCCTAAATTC